GCACCTCCACTCCCCTCAGCTACCTACCTCCATCTCTCCTAGATCCCCTACCTCCACTCCTCAGCTACCTACTTCCACCTCTCATCTCAGCTACCTACCTCCATCTCTCCTTCAGCTACCTACCTCCACCTCCCCTCAGCTCCCTACCTCCATCTCTCCTCAGCTACCTACCTCCATCTTCCTCAGCTACCTACCCCCATCTCCTCAGCTACCTCCCTCCATCTCTCCTCAGCTCACCCATCTCCTCACTACTACCCTCACTCCCATACCTCCACTCCTAGCTACTACTCCATCTCCTCAGCTGCCCTACCTCCATCTCTCCTCAGTACTACCTCATCCTCCACATCTGCTACCTCCATCTCCTCAGCTACCTACTCTCTATCCACTCATCCTCAGCTACCTACCTCCATCTCTCCTCAGATACCCACATCCATCTCTCCTCAGACCACCTACCCTCCACTCCTCTTCTTCCTCAGCTCCTACCTCCATCTCTCTCAGCTCCTACCTCAATCTCTCAGCTACCTACCTCCATCTCCACCATCCTCAGGCTAACTACCTCCATCTCTCCTCAGCTACCTACCTCCATCTCTCAGCTACCCTACCTCATCTCTCTAGCTGCCTACCTCCACCTCTGCTCAGCTACCCTACCTCCATCTCTCCTCAGCTACCTACCTCCATCTCTCCATCTCCTCAGCTACCTACCTCCATCTCTCCTTAGCTACCTACCTCCATCTCTCCTCAGCTACCTACCTCCATCTCTCCATCCATCCTCAGCTTACCTACTCCTCATCTCCCTCAGTACCCTACCTCCATCTCTCCTCAGCTACCCACCTCCATCTCTCCTCAGCTACCTACCTCCATCTCTCCTCAGCTGCCCTACCTCCACCTCTGCTCAGCTACCCTACCTCCATCTCTCCTCAGCTACCTACCTCCATCTCTCCATCTCTCCTCAGCTACCTACCTCCATTCTCCCTCAGCTACCTACCTCCATCTCTCCTCAGCTACCTACCTCCATCTCTCCTGAGCTGCCCTACCTCCATCTCTCCTGAGCTACCTACCTCCATCTCTCCTCAGCTACCTACCTCCATCTCTCCTCAGCTACCTACCTCCATCTCTCCTCAGCTACCTACCTCCATCTCTCCTCAGCTACCTACCTCCATCTCTCCTTAGCTACCCTACCTCCATCTCTCCTCAGCTACCTACCTCATCTCTCTCAGCTACCTACCTCCATCTCTCTCTGAGTTCTGCCCTACCTCCATCTCTCCTGAGCTACCTACCTCCATCTCTCCTCAGCTACCCTACCTCCATCTCTCCTCAGCTACCCTACCTCCATCTCTCCATCCATCCTTAGCTACCTACCTCCATCTCTCCATCCATTCTTAGCTATCTGCGTTCCAATTCATCCCAAAGGTGTTCAAAAGGTGTTCAATGGGGTTCAGGGCTCTGTGCAGGCCAGTAGAGGTTCTTCCACACCGATCTCAACAAACCATTTCTGTATAGACCTTGCTTTGTGCACGGGGGCATTGTCATGCTGAAACAGGAAAGGCCATTCCCCAAACTGTTGCCATAAAGTTGGACGCGCAGAATTGGGGCAGGTAGCGTTCTCCTGGCATCGGCCAAACCCAGAATCGTCCGTCAGACTGCCAGATGATGAAGAGTGATCCATCACTCCAGAGAACGCGTTTCCACTGCTCCAGTCCAATGGCGGCGAGCTTTACACCACTCCAGCCGACGCTTGACATTGCACATGTTGATCTTAGACTTGTGTGCGGCTACACAAATGGAAACCCATTTCATGAAGCTCCCGATGAACAGTTCTTGTGCTGATGTTGCTTCCAGAGGCAGTTTGGAACTCGGTAGTGAGTGTTGCAACTCAGGACAGATGATTTTTTACATACTATGCGCTTCAGCACTTTGCGGTCCCGTTCTGTGAGCTTGTGTAGCCTACCACTTCGCGGCTGAGCCGTTGTTGCTCCTAGACGTTTCCACTTCACAATAACAGCACTTACAGTTTACCGGGGCAGCTCTAGCAGGGCAGGAATTTGACGAACTGACTTGTTGGAAAGGTAGCATCCTATGACGGTGCCACGTTGAAAGTCACTGAGCTCTTCAGTAAGGCCATTCTACTGCCAATGTTTGTCTATGGAGAGTGCATGGCTGTGAGCTCAATACTATGCACCTATCAGCAATGGGTGTGGTTGAAATAGCCAATTCCACTCATTTGAAGGGGTGTCCACATACTTTTGTATATATAGTGTACCTCCATCCATCCATCCCTCCTTCCATCCTTAGCTACCTACCTCCATCTCTCCATCCATCCCTCCCTCATCCAATATAATGTTTGTGATGTCACTGCGACAACTGTCTACAGACGTAGTATAAACCAGCCTTTAGTCTTGAAATCTTTGGTTGTTTAGTCCACTACCGTACTCACTCTGTTTAGCACATGGCCTCACATGTGAATCCTTAAAGAGATGGGTGGGGCTAAGGCTTAAGAGGGTGAGAACGACGCTGAATGGGTGTAGACAAAAGAAGAGCTCTCCAGTAGGTACCAAAACATTCAAGGGTCTGAACCTCTTCAACATGTACCACACTGAACCCCTACAACATGTACCACACTGAACCCCTTCAACATGTACCACACTGAACCTCTACAACATAACCTCTACACATGGGCAACATATCCCCACTGCCAGGGCAACATATCCCCACTGCCAGGGCAACATATCCCCACTGCCAGGGCAACATATCCCCACTGCCAGGGCAACATATCCCCACTGCCAGGGCAACATATCCCCACTGACAGGGCAACATATCCCCACTGACAGGGCAACATATCCCCCAGGGCAGGACCAATTAGCTGGTGTGGGAGCACTATTGTCTCCCTGTAATAAAGGGCTCCTCTGTGTTCCTCTACTCCTGGATAACCCAGAGCAGGGAGGAAAGACGTCCCAGCGTCCCCCAGTAGTAAAGGATACTTCCCGTTCGGACCGGCTGCTATGCGGTAGTCGCTGTAGCTGTTACTGGGGTGGAAGTTGAACACAAACATAACGTTGGCTCTTTCAAACACGATCACTTTATCCTTCTCATCCACCGTGGTCATCAACACCTGAAGGAGAGAGGAAGAGAGGAGGATGGATGGATGGATTGATGAGAGGAAAGAGAAGAGTACATCATTGTGATTGTGATACCAGCAGTCCTCCAGTGACTGTTAATCTTCTAAAACCTTTAGGCCAGTGGTGTCCAGTCTTACTAGCAAAGTGTCCAACTAGTCATATATGAAATGTAATAATACAACAATATAATTTACATTTAGCAGATGCTCTTATCCAGAGCGAGTGTTAGTTCACGAAAGGCTGTGTGAGGTAGGGTCGTACTCTACGGATGTTGTAGAGCAGGGTTGCCCAACCCTGTTCCTGGAGAGCTACCCTCCTGTAGGTTTTCGCTCCAACCCCAGGTGTTACTTACCTGATTCATCTTATCAACCTGCTAATTATTAGAATCCAGTGCGCTAGATTAGGGTTGGGTCCTTTTTGATGAGAATGAACTGCTGTGATGTTTGCAGAGAACGACAGGGTGTTGTCCAGCGTCACACCATATATACAGTGCATTCGGAAAGTATTCAGACTCCTTTACTTTTTCCACACTTTGTTACGTTACAGCCTTATTCTAAAATATATATATATATATTTTTTAATGGTCTCAATCTACACACAATACCCCATAATGACAAAGCAAAAACAAGTTTAGAAATGTTGGAACATTTATTACAAATAAAAACCGAAAACATCACATTTACATAAGTACTCAGACCCTTTACTCAGTATTTTGTTGAAGCACCTTTGGCAGCGATTACAGCCTTGAGTCTTCTTGGGTTTGGCACACCTGCATTTGGGGTGTTTCTCCCATTTTTCTCTGCAGATCCTCTCAAGCTCTGTCAGGTTGGATGGGGAGTGTCGCTGCACAGCTATTTTCATGTCTCTCCAGAGATGTTCGATTGGGTTCAAGTCCGGGCTCTGGCTGGGCCACTCAAGGACATTCAGAGACTTGTCCCGAAGCCACTCCTGCGTTGTCTTGGCTGTGTGCTTAGGGTCGTTGTCCTGTTGGAAGGTGAACATTCGCCCCAGTCTGAGGTCCTGAGTGCTCTGGAGCAGGTTTTCATCAAGGATCTCCCTGTACTTTTCTCTGTTCATCTTTCCCTCAATCCTGATTAGTCTCATAGCCCTGCCGCTGAAAAACATCCCACAGCATGATGCTGCCACCACCTTGCTTCACCGTAGAGATGGTGCAAGGTTTCCTCAAGATGTGACGCTTGGCATTCAGACCAGAGAATCTTGTTTCTCATGGTCAGAGTCCTTTAGGTGCCTTTTGGCAAACTCCAAGCGGGCTGTCATGTGCCTTTTACTGAGGAGTGGCTTCCGTCTGGCCACTCTACCATAAAGGCCTGATTGGTGGAGTGCTGCAGAGATGGTTGTCCTTCTGGAAGGTTTTCCCATCTCCACAGAGGAACTCTGGAGCGCTGTCAGAGTGACAATCGGGTTCTTGGTCACCTCCCTGACCAAGGCCCTTCTCCCCCGATTGCTCAGTTTGGCCGGGCAGCCAGCTCTAGGAAGAGTCTTGGTGGTTCAAAACTTCTTCCATTTAATAATGATGGAGGCCACTGTGTTCTTGGGGACCTTCAATTCTGCAGAAATGTTTTGGTACCCTTCCCCAGATCTGTGCCTCGACACAATCTTGTCTCGGAGCTCTACGGACAATTCCTTCGACCTCATGGCTTGGTTTTTTGCTCTGACATGCACTGTCAACTGTGGGACCTTATATAGACAGGTGTGTGCCTTTCCAAATCATGTCCAATCAATTTAATTTACCACAGGTGGACTCCAATCAAGATGTAGAAACATCTTAAGGATGATCAATGGAAACAGCATCCACCTGAGCTCAATTTCAAGTAACACAGCAAAGGGTCTGAATATCTGTGGAGGGAGCTGAAGGTTTGAGTTGCCCAACGTCAGGCTCGAAACCTTAATGACTTGGAGAAGATCTGCAAAGAGGAGTGGGACAAAATCCCTCCTGAGATGTGTGCAAACCTGGTTGCCAACTACAAGAAACGTCTGACCTCTGTGATTGCCAACAAGAGTTTTGCCACCAAGTACTAAGTCATGTTTTGCAGAGGGGTCAAATACTTATTTCCCTCATTAAAATGCAAATCAATTTATAACATTTTTGACATGAGTTTTTCTGGATTTTCTGTCTCTCACTGTTCAATAAACCTACCATTTAAAATTATAGACTGATCATGTCTTTGTCATTGGGAAAACATACAAAATCAGCAGGGGATCAAATACTTTTTCCCCCTCACTGTACAACCACTCCAGTACCCCTGCACATTGAATAAGGTACTGACCTGTATATCCAACCACTCCAGTACCCCTGAACATTGAATAAGGTACTGACACTGACCTGTATATACAACCACTCCAGTTTCTTTAACTCTCATCATAGTTCTTCTGTTAGTAAAAAATAAAAATATTATTATCTATATTATTATTATTATTATTATTATTATTATTATTACTACTGCATTGTTGGGAAAGAGCTCTCAGGGTAAGAATGTCACAGTAGTGTTTTACACCTGTTGTATATGCACCTGGCATATAAACGTTGAAACTTGCAGGTAACATGGTGGGCATGGAGGGGCATCTGAAACAAGATGGAGGAAAAGCTGCTGGAGTCAAGAGTTCAAGGTTCAGGCCTGTCTACAGTCTGGACATCACTGAGCCTAAAGACTTCCTCCAGCTGCCCTGTCCCCTGCCTCCTGGTGGACGATGAGATACGATGAGATACAGGACCTTTTCTTTTCTCTCAACGCAGAGCAGCAAGAGACTTTATCAACTGGAGGGGCATGGAAGAGCTTTTCTCTCAACGCAGAGCAGCAAGAGACTTTATCAACTGGAGGGGCATGGAAGAGCTTTTCTCTCAACGCAGAGCAGCAAGAGACTTTATCAACTGGAGGGGCATGGAAGAGCATGTGAAATGAGGGCCTCCTTGTATGTGACAGGAGTTTGTTCATTGAGAAGTGAGTAATGTATAATGTAATAATACTCTTGACTTGACATACTCACATTTGTTCATGATAAATTATATTTTAAAATAGACAAGACCAATAAAGAACTTTGCTGATTGCAGTGTCTTATCTCCTAATCAAGACAAGCCATACAAAATTATTAAGTTAAAATGAATGGCCCAGCGGTCTAAGGTACTGCAGTGCTGGAGGCGTCACTACAGACCCCTGGTTCGATCCTGGACTGTGTCACAGCCGGCCGCGACCGGGAGACCCATGAAGCGGCGCCCAACTCGTCCAGCGTCGTCCGGGTTAGGGGAGGGTTTGGCCGGGCCGGGATGTCCTTGTCCCATCGCCCTCTAGCGACTCCTTGTGGCGGGCCGGGCGCATGCAGGCTGACACGGTTGCCAGTTGTACCTCCGACACATTGGTGCGGCTGGCTTCCAGGTTAAGCGAGCAGGGGTCGTGTTTCGGAGGACACATGGCTCTCGACCTTCGCCTCTGCCGAGTCCGTACGGGAGTTGCAGCGATGGGACAAGACTGTAACTACCAATTGGATATCACAAAATTGTGAAGAAAAACGGGTTAAAAAATATACACATTTATAAAAATTAATGAAAGTAAGGTCTGTATATCCTACCTTCTGTGAGGCCAGCCATCCATATTTGTCCTCAGTGAGGTTCATGTCTCTGTCAAAGGCGTACAGCTGTGTGTAGCGTAGGTTGTTGTCAGGGTCCAACAGGTTGTACTGACGACGGGCGTACTTATAACTCTCACAATTACCTATCCTGGGGAAGTCCAGCCACTCTGGGTGGCCAAACTCATTACCTATGGAGAGAGACAGAAAGAACACAGATCTTTACTGTGAGAGAGAGATGCACAAAAAGACAGAGACAGACAGACAGACAGACAGGGAGAGATGGGGAGTGGAAAGAGGGCCTACTAGAAAGAGGGGAGAGGGGGAGAAGAGGCCTACTAGAGAGAGAGAGAGAGGGAGAGGGCCTACTAGAGAGAGGGGAGAGGGGGAGAGAGGGCCTACTAGAGAGAGGAGGAGAGAGGAGAGAGGGCCTACTAGAGAGAGAGAGGGCCTACTAGAGAGAGAGAGAGGGCCTAATAAGAGAGAGAGAGAGAGGAGAGAGGGCATACAAGAGAGAGAGGAGAGAGGGCCTACTAGAGAGAGAGAGGGCCTACTAGAGAGGAGAGAGGGCCTACTAGAGAGAGAGAGAGAGGAGAGGCCTACTAGAGAGGAGGAGGAAGGCCTACTAGAGAGAGGAGAGAGAGGGCCTACTAGAGGAGACGAGGAGAGAGGCTATAGAGAGAGAGGAGAGAGGGCCTAAACGAGAGAGAGAGGAGAGGGGCCTACTAGAGAGAGAGGAGAGAGGGCCTACTAAGGAGAGAGAGAGGGCCTACTAGAGAGAGAGGAGAGAGGGCCTACTAGAGAGAGAGAGGAGAGAGGGCCTACTAGAGAGAGAGAGAGAGAGGGCCTACTAGAGAGAGAGAGGAGAGAGGGCCTACTAGAGAGAGAGGAGAGAGGGCCTACTAGAGAGAGAGAGGAGAGAGGGCCTACTGGGAGAAGAGAGGAGGAGGAGAGGGCCTACTAGAGAGAGAGAGGAGAGAGGGCCCTACTAGAGAGAGAGGAGAGAGGGCCTACTAGAGAGAGGGAGGAGAGAGGGCCTACTAGAGAGAGAGGAGAGAGGGCGCTACTAGAGAGAGAGGGAGAGAGGGCCTACTAGAGAGAGAGGAGAGAGGGCCTACTAGAAGAGAGAGGAGGAGAGAGGGGCACTACTAGAGAGAGAGGAGAGAGGGGCCCCTACTAGAGAGAGAGGGAGAGGGCCTACTAGAGAGAGAGGAGAGAGGGCCTACTAGAGAGAGAGGAGAGAGGGGCCTACTAGGAGAGAGGAGAGAGAGGGCCTTACTAGAGAGAGAGGAGAGAGAGAAGGGCCTTACTAGAGAGAGAGAGAGAGAGGGCCTACTAGAGAGAGAGAGGAGAGAGGGCCTACTAGAGAGAGAGGGAGAGAGGGCCTACTAGAGGAGAGAGGAGAGGGAGAGAGGGCCTACTAGAGAGAGAGGAGAGGAGAGGAGGCCCTACTAGAGAGAGAGGAGAGAGGGCCTACTAGAGAGAGAGAGAGGAGAGAGGGCCTACTAGAGAGAGAGGAGAGAGGGGCCTACTAGAGAGAGGAGAGGAGGAGAGGGCCTACTAGAGAGAGAGGAGAGAGGGGCCCTACTAGAGAGAGAGGGAGGAGAGGGGCCTACTAGAGAGAGAGGAGAGAGAGGGCCTACTAGAGAGAGAGAGGAGAGAGGGCCTACTAGAGAGAGAGGAGAGAGGGGCCCCTACTAGAGAGAGAGGAGAGAGGGCCTACTAGAGAGAGAGAGGAGAGGGCCTACTAGAGAGAGAGGAGAGAGGGCCTCCACTAGAGAGAGAGAGGAGAGAGGGGCCTACTAGAGAGAGGAGAGAGGCTACTAGAGAGAGAGAGGAGAGAGGGCCTATAGAGAGAGAGAGGAGAGGGGCCTACTAGAGAGAGAGAGGAGGAGGAGGGCCTACTAGAGAGAGGAGGAGAGAGAGAGAGGGCTACTAGAGAGAGAGGAGAGAGGGCGTACTAGAGAGAGAGAGAGGAGAGAGGGCCTACTAGAGAGAGAGAGGAGAGAGAGGGCCTACTAGAGAGAGAGAGGAGAGAGGGCCTACTAGAGAGAGGAGAGGAGAGAGGGCCTACTAGAGAGAGGAGAGAGGAGAGAGGGCCTACTAGAGAGAGAGAGGAGAGAGGGCCTACTAGAGAGAGAGAGGAGAGAGGGCCTACTAGAGAGAGAGGGGAGAGGAGGGCCTACTAGAGAGAGAGGAGGAGGAGAGGGGCCTACTAGAGAGAGAGAGAGAGGAGAGAGGGCCTACTAGAGAGAGAGAGGAGAGAGGGCCATACTAGAGAGAGAGGAGAGAGGGAACCTACTAGAGAGAGGAGAGGGAGAGGGGGCCTACTAGAGAGAGAGAGGAGAGAGGGCCTACTAGGAGAGAGAGGAGGAGAGAGGGCCTACTAGGAGAGAGGGAGGAGGGCCTATAGAGAGAGAGGAGAGAGGGGGAGGAGAGGGGCCTACTAGAGAGGGGAGAGGGGAGAGAGGAGGAGAGGGCCTATAGAGAGAGAGAGAGAGGGCCCTACTAGAGAGAGAGAGGAGAGAGGGCCTACTAGAGAGAGAGAGGAGAGAGGGCCTACTAGAGAGAGAGAGGAGGAGGAGGGCCCCTACTAGAGAGAGAGGAGAGGAGAGAGGGCCTACTAGAGAGAGAGAGAGAGGAGAGAGGGCCTACTAGAGAGAGGGGAGAGAGGGCCTACTAGAGAGAGAGGAGAGAGGAGAGAGGGCCTACTAGAGAGAGAGGGGAGAGGGGCCCTAATAGAGAGAGAGAGGAGAGAGGGCCTACTAGAGAGAGGAGAGGAGAGGGGCCTACTAGAGAGAGAGGGAGAGAGGGCCTACTAGAGAGAGAGGAGGAGGGAGAGGGGGCCCTACTAGAGAGAGAGAGGAGGAGAGAGGGCCTACTAGAGGAGAGAGGAGAGAGGGCACTACTAGAGAGAGAGGAGAGAGGGCCTACTAGAGAGAGAGGAGAGAGGGCCTACTGAGAGAGAGAGGAGAGAGGGCCCACTAGAGAGAGGAGGGAGAGGGCCTACTAGAGAGAGAGGGGAGAGGGGGCCCCTACTAGAGAGAGAGGAGGAGAGGGGCCTCCTAGAGAGAGAGAGGAGAGAGGGCCTATAGAGAGAGAGGAGAGAGGGCCTACTAGAGAGAGGGAGAGAGGAGAGAGGGCCCCCCTACTAGAGAGAGAGGAGAGAGGAGGAGAGGGCCTACTAGAGAGAGAGGGAGGGAGAGGGCCCCTACGAGAGAGAGAGAGGAGAGAGGGCCCCTACTAGAGAGAGAGAGGAGAGAGGGCCTACTAGAGAGAGAGAGGAGGAGAGGGCCTACTAGAGAGAGAGGAGAGAGGGCCCTACTAGAGAGAGAGAGGAGAGAGGGCCCTACTAGAGAGAGAGGAGAGGAGAGAGGGCCCTACTAGAGAGAGGAGGAGAGGAGAGTGCCTTACTAGAGAGAGAGAGAGGGAGAGGGCCTACTAGAGAGAGAGGAGAGAGGAGAGAGGGCCTACTAGAGAGAGAGGAGAGAGGAGAGAGGCCCTACTAGAGAGAGAGAGGAGAGAGGGCCCTACTAGAGGAGAGAGGAGAGAGGGCCTACTAGAGAGAGAGGAGAGAGGGCCCTACTAGAGAGAGAGGAGAGAGGGCCCCTACTAGAGAGAGAGAGGAGGAGAGGGCCTACTAGAGAGAGAGAGGAGAGAGGGCCTACTAGAGAGAGAGAGGAGAGAGGGCCTACTAGAGAGAGAGGGAGAGAGGGCCTACTAGAGAGAGAGGAGAGAGGGCCTACTAGAGAGAGAGGAGAGAGGGCCTACTAGAGAGAGAGGAGAGAGGGCCTACTAGAGAGAGAGAGGAGAGAGGGCCTACTAGAGAGAGAGGAGAGAGGGCCTACTAGGAGAGAGAGGAGAGAGGGCCTACTAGAGAGAGAGGAGAGAGGGCCTACTAGAGAGAGAGGAGAGAGGGCCTACTAGAGAGAGAGGAGAGAGGGCCCTACTAGAGAGAGAGGAGAGAGGGCCCCTACTAGAGAGAGAGAGGAGAGAGGGCCTACTAGAGAGAGAGGAGAGAGGGCCTACTAGAGAGGGGGGGGGGGGGATAAAGACCCCACTCTGACTCCAGATCTCTGAAGACTAAAGAAGTCTCTAAAGTCTAAGACTAAAGTCTACTACAAAAAGAGTGACAGAAAGAAAGAACAGAAAAGAAGAGAGGACAAGAGGAAGAAAGAGAATACCAGGCATTAGGGAGGAGTGGAATCCCTTTCTCTTGATCTTAAGGTCGTATTCTAGACTCAAGACATCTTATTATTCAGCAGACAGACCGGTGAAGAGACAGACTGCATACCGATTACACAGACACCAGATATGTTTCCGTTAACTTGTTCAGTGATTTTTTTTGTTGCAGACATTTAGAAAGTTTGCATAGAAAATAGAGGCGACAATTGCCTGCTAGGGTGCATTTCCATTTAAACAATCTTCTGTTGATTAAAAACAGCTCGACGTAATGACGTCACACCTTTAAAATATAACACTTTTCAGCAAAAACCCAGTGTCCAATAAAAATGTAGCGGTTGAAGTATTTCCATTACCCATTTAAACAAATTGCACATTAATAAAATGTCGACAGCCTGTATGCCCTCATACCTGTCTGTTTCACGTCTCAGGTAGCCCACAAAAGACAGCATGGATGGAATGCAATAATGAACTAATATTTGCCGTATTCTAATAATTCTCATGTGCCAACGTATCGCCACGGCGCGTGCCATTGGTGAAACTTGCATTCCTTTAGATCTGAAATAATTGGATGGTGAAATTTGCATCCAGCCAACCAGAAAAACAAGGTGAAGCAATTCAGGCATTCTCGAAAGTCAGGACAATCCTTGTCCTGCAAGGAAAACATTTTTTTTAGTTTAATTTTTGTATTTATTTTGCAAGCAGTAAACATTTCTAATTAAAATGTGGAGTGGAGCTTTATAGTAACACAATGACATCACGATGACATCACGTTCCACGCGTACCTTCCAAATTATTCAGCGACGATCATTTATTCGAAAAACAGTTTCCATCATCATTTGTCGCAATAAAGACAAATCCACCCTCCGAACTGATAAAAATAGTTGTCGATCTTTAGAAAATGTCCCCTATATCTGCCTTTTCCATTACACAAGTCATAATGATTCCCCCCCCCCCCCACCCGACACCGCTTTTGTCATATAAACCCGGGTCAATGGAAACCTGCCTCCAAGGATTTTACTAATGGAATTTTTTTCTTAACGTATCACCTGCAATTTCTTTCTCTCCATTATTCATTAAAACATATACAAATTAATACAATTCCGTGTGAATTCACAATGCAGTTGCAGCTGCTGCCAGCAACGGTTTGGGTCTCAAGGTGTGTCCCTTTCTGTACTTGAAAAATAAAAAATAAAGCCTCCACTAAGATGCAATAATTTAATATCCTAATAACAGGTAGCTTAGTGGTTAAGAGCGTTGTGCCAGTAACCGAAAGGTTGCTGGTTCTAATCCCCGAGCCGACTAGGATGAAAAATCTGTCGATGTGCCCTTGAGCAAGGCACTTAACCCTAATTGCTCATGTAAGTCGCTCTGGATAAGAGCGTCTGCTAAATGACTCAAATGTAAAATGTAAATGTAACAGACATGCGGTCTTCATCAGGGTATAATGTCAAACACTGCGGGCCACTGGGTTATATAGTGTCAAAGGACACACGCAGGTGTCTGTAATCATGGCCGGGTGTGGCCTGATAGCCTGATAGCATTGGTTCATTCACAGATAAACAGAACATACAAAAAAACATGGATAGCATACGATCATAGATACAACTTGGCTGCATAGGCCCACAAACATTTACAATGAATAGCAAAATCACAATAATCACAAGAATGGCTTCAAATCAAAGTCTACGTTGAGACCGAAGGGAGCAAGGGTCTTTAAAATTAAAGATCCAGGCAGCCTCTCGTTTTAACAATAAGTTGTCGAGGTCACCCCCTCTTCCTGTGGTCCTCTGTAGCTCAGCTGGTAGAGCACGGCGCTTGTAACGCCAAGGTAGTGGGTTCGATCCCCGGGACCACCCATACACAAAAAATGTATGCACGCATGACTGTAAGTCGCTTTGGATAAAAGCGTCTGCTAAATGGCATATTATATTATTATTATATTATTCCTAGGGAGGGTGACATGTTCGATGCCGATATAACGTAGGGACGAAATCGAGTGGTTCGCTTCCAAAAAGTGGGCAGCGACTGGGTATGTAGAGTTCTTGCACCTAATGGTGCTACGATGTTCCGAGATTCGTGCTTTTAATTTGCGCTTTGTTTTACCAACATAATGTTTACCACAAGGACAAGTTCTAAGATAAATAACTGCCTTAGTGGAGCACGTGATAACACCTTTGATTGGGATCGGTTTCTCTGTTTGGGGGTGTTTGAAGGACCTACATTTTTAAGTGCCGTTGCATTGAGCGCAGCCGTTACACTTGTAGTTTCCATCCGGTAGAGGTGCAAATAGACGTTGTGCAGGGATATTTAGGGGTGGTAAATCAGAGTTCCTTCTCCCTCTCCCTCTCCTTCTCCCTCTCCTTCTCCTTCTCCTTCTTTCTCTCGCTCCTTCTCTCTCTCTCCTTCCCTCTCTCTCCTTCTCTCTCTCCTTCTCTCTCCTTCTCCCTCCTTCTCCCTCTCCTTCTTGATCTCTGAGATTTCTGCCCCGCCAGAATACAACCAAGGGAGGGCCCGAAAACACATTACCAATACTGTCATCGGATCACCTGTACTTCCATTACTGTACTTAAAATTCCACATCGCAAAGTTTTGCATTTCCTTCTCATTTAACTTGTCAGTGTTGCCATACAGGACGTTGCTGCTGTCGCTGGCCTTTCTCTGCCATTTTTACAACTGTTAACGACGATGACGAAGTGGTGGAGTCGACGGCAAAATAATTGACTACTCGTACGTCGACTCCCAGTGTCGACTCCCATTTCTGAGTGTCAAGATATTTTTGGAAACGGAGGAGACTGATTAGTTACCGTACTTCAGAGAACACAAACAGTCACATCTTTCATAGCGAGCTAGTGAGGGACAGAGAGAGAGAGAGAGAGAGAGAGAGAGGGAGAGGGAAAGAGAGAGAGAGAGGAAAGAGAGAGAGAGGAAAGAGAGAGAGAGGAAAGAGAGAGAGAGGAAAGAGACAGAGAGAGAGGAAAGAGAGAGAGGAAAGAGAGAGACAGAGACAGAGAGAGAGAGAGAGAGGAGAGAGCGAGAGAGAGAGAGAGAGAGAGAGAGAGAGAGACAGAGAGAGGAGGGGCACAGTATAGGCAGGTCAGCCACCAGGCAGACAGTCAGAACCGTGCACTAGGCCTATCAAATAGCAATCAAAAGCTGTATCTCGCAATGGAATGCTGTCTCTCACAATTTCTTGAGTGGTAGCCAGGGCACCACAACAGTAGATGTCCTCCCGTCCTCCAGGACATCTACAGCATCCGGTGTCACAGGAAGGTGTCACAGGAAGGTGTCACAGGAAGGTGTCACAGGAAGGTGTTGTAGTTATGACAATAGACTTTTGGACATTAGTCACTGTCACTAGCCAGCTCCCACTGGGCACTCTACCCTGCACCTTAGAGACCGCTGCCCTATGTACATAGAGTCATTTAACACTGGTCACTTTAATAATGTTTACATACTATTTACAGTGTCTACAGAAAGTATTCACACCCCTTGACCTTTTCCAAATTGTGTTGTGTTACAGCCTGGATTTGAAATGTAAATGTGTCACTGGCCTACACACAATACCCCATAATGTCAAAGTGTCAAATGTCAACAACAAAAAAATGCTAAATTGTCTCGAGTCAATAAGTATTCAACCCCTTTGTTAAGGCAAACCTAAATAAGTTCAGGAGTAAAATTGTGCTTAACAAGTCACATAATAAGTTGCATGGACTCTGTGTACAATAATAATAATAATAATAATACAACAATATATTTTCTGAATGACCCCTCTGTGGAAAGATGAGACTCTCACAAACAGAATGGTGTTCTCCATTTTGCTCTACGACCCCCAAAAGCATCTTGGGACTCGTCCGAAGTCGGTACAGACGATCTGCCAACTTCTGTCTGTAGCGTCTGGAAAGTTTGGGCTACACACTAATATGACCACTTTGTGGAAAGGTGAGACTCTCATGAACATGTAAATGTTGGTGGTTTTGCTCTAGGACACCCACAGGCCTCACAAGACTCATCTGAATGAATTTATTTCTTTTAAAATATGTATATATATATATATATGGAGACTGTTTAACGCCAGAAATAAGGGATTAAATACATGTCAAAAAGAATATCAAAAGTTTCCTGATCTCTCATCTCGCTCAGATATAGGACAGACACTTCAGAACTAACTTCCTTTAGATTTTTTAGGGGGGGGGGACTATCTGTTGTTCCATGTAGTGAATCTGTTATTCAATGTGTTTGTATGGGCTAATAGCAGTAAGGACTATCTGTTGTTCCATGTAGTGAATCTGTTATTCAATGTGTTTGTACGGGCTAATAGCAGTAAGGACTATCTGTTGTTCCAGGTAGTGAATCTGTTATTCAATGTGTTTGTATGGGCTAATAGCAGTAAGGACTATCTGTTGTTCCATGTAGTGAATCTGTTATTCAATGTGTTTCTATGGGCTTATAGCAGTAAGGCCAAATACAATTTTACAAATATTTTTGATCCTTTTTGACCTTCTCAAAACAATTCCATATGCTTAGTAGAACCCCCCCCCCCCCCAGCTTAGACTATTATGGGTTATGTTTGCATGAGCTGCATCTGAAGTCGTATCCTTGACGTACTTGACTTAAACCCTTTTCCTCTTCAGGTTCGGTTTTTCGTACCCTTTCCGCTGCAACCTGCAAGCACAACTTTTAATGACGTGGCCAGGAAATGGGTCCAAGAGGTGGGTTGAGGTTGAATCGGATTGGTCTAATGACCTGAGAAAAGTCAATGTTATTGGCTCGGTGGTTCCTGAGAGAGGTCAATGGAGAGAAACTCTGGACTCCCACATGCTGTGTGTGTGGTGTGTGTGTGTGTGTGTGTGTGTGAGGAGAGAGAGAGAGGAGAGAGAGAGTGAGAGGGGAAAGAGGAGAGAGCGAGAGAGAGGGGAAAGAGAGAGAGAGGGGGGAAAGAGAGAGAGAGAGGAAAGAGAGAGAGAGAGAGGAAAGAGAGAGAGAGAGAGGAAAGAGAGAGAAAGGAAAGGAGAGAAAGGAAAGAGAGAGGAGGGGAAAGAGAGGGGAAAGCGAGAGAGAGAGGGGAAAAGAGAGAGAGGAGGTGGATGTCTGGTTGATGTGTATAGCAGTGGCCTTGGAAGTAATGACAACATTTCAGGTGGCTCTCTGTGTATGTCAGGTCTCCACTGTGTTTATATCAGGGTTCGTACAGACAGTGGCAAGTCAAATTCAAGGACTTTCAAGTACTTTTTCAAGCACTAATATTTATTTTCAAGGGCCATCAATTTGTAATAGTTCCTATTACGCTATTGTTTCTAGTCGCCACCAGATGGCAGTATATCACCACAACCTAAACAACAACAAAAAAGTATTCATCACTACAGTTGAAGTCGGAAGTTTACATACACCTTAGCCAAATATATTTAAACTCAGTTTTTCACAATTCCTGACATTTAATCCTTGTACAAATTCCCTGTCTTAGGTCAGTTAGGATCACCACTTTATTTTAAGAATGTGAAATGTCAGAATAATAGTAGAGAGAATGATTTATTTCAGCTTTTATTTCTTTCATCACGTTCCCAGTGGGTCAGAAGTTTATATACACTCAATTAGTATTTGGTAGCATTGCCTTAAATTGTTTAACTTGGGTCAAACGTTTTGGGTAGCCTTCCACAAGCTTCCCACAATAAATTGGGTGAATTTTGGCCCATTCCTCCTGACAGAGCTGGTGTAACGATGTCAGGTTTGTAGGCCTCCTTGCTCGCACACGTTTTTTCAGTTCTATCCACAAATTGTCTATAGGATTGAGGTCAGGGCTTTGTGATGGCCACTCCAATACCTTGACTTTGTTGTCCTTAAGCCATTTTGCCACAACTTTGGAAGTATGCTTGGGGTCATTGTCCATTTGGAAGACCCATTTGCGACCAAGCTTTAACTTCCTGACTGATGTCTTGAGATGTTGCTTCAATAAGTCCCCCAATTTTTCCTCCAAACATAACGATGTCATTATGGCCAAACAGTTCTATTTTTGTTTCATCAGACCAGAGGACATTTCTCCAAAAAGTACGATCTTTGTCCCCATGTGCATTTTCAAACCGTAGTCTGGCTTTTTAATGGTGGTTTTGGAGCAGTGGCTTCTTCCTTGCTGAGCGGCCTTTCAGGTTATGTCGATATAGCACTCGTTTTACTGTGGAAATAGATACTTTTGTACCCGTTTCCTCCAGCAACTTCACAAGGTCCTTTGCTGTTGTTCTGGGATTGATTTGCACTTTTCGCACCAAAGTACGTTCATCTCTAGGAGACAGAACACGTCTCCTTCCTGAGCGGTATGACGGCTGCGTGGTCCCATGGTGTTTATACTTGCGTACTATTGTTGGTACAGATGAACGTGGTACCTTCAGGCGTTTGGAAATTGCTCCCAAGGATGAACCAGACTTGTGGAGGTCCACAATGTTTTTTCTGAGGTCTTGGCTGATTTCTTTTGATTTTCCCATGATGTCAAGCAAAGAGGCACTGAGTTTGAAGGTAGGCCTTGAAATACATCCACAGGTACACCTCCAATTGACTGAAATGATGTCAATTAGCCTATCAGAAGCTTCTAAAGCCATGACATAATTTTCCTGAATTTTCCAAGCTTAAAGACAGTCAACTTTGTGTATGTAAACTTCTGACCCACTGGAAAAGTGAAATAATCTGTCTGTAAACAATTGTTGGAAAGATTACTTGTGTCATGCACAAAGTAGATGTCCTAACCGACTTGCCAAAACTATAGTTTGTTAACAAGAAATTTGCGGAGTGGTTGAAAAACAAGTTTGAATCACTCCAACCAAAGTGTATGTAGACTTCCGACTTCAACTGTACCTTACAAGTTCTACTCAACAATATGCGTTTCACTACATATACATGAATGGTAACTTAAGTCGGTACTGAGTATGTTGTAATTTCAGTAGTGAAGAGCAGAGTTTTGGGACACGCCTACTGATGAACACACATTTCCTATTCACGTTACTACACAATTCCAGCTTAATGGCTGTTTTTTGGGCATTTGGGAATCTACTTAATAGCTACGAAAAAGCCTCTTGTTTTCCAACTGTCAGCTTTAGTGTCGCCGGTCGGGAGAAGGGCTGTGTGAGGAAAACGGCACGTGAACGGCCACCAGAACGGCAGGAGCACGGCTGCCCGCTTGATAAAACAGAATATCGCGGGCGCCCCGTGAATGAAGCGATTGGCAAAAAATCTCTGGAGGTAGTTAGAGAAAAAGAGTCACAATGTAGAACTGGCGTCAGCGCAGGGATGCAGCATTGCCTTTCCCCCCCCTTCATGTGGCTCTTCGGGACAGATTCCCCCCCCATGCTCACAATGTCAGTCGGACGCATTTTTTGCACCTTACATGGTGTGTTGGTTCGGTCCAGTGATAAGAAAAAGTGGGTAAAACTATACTGAACAAAAATATAAACGCAACATGTAAAATGTTGGTCCCATGTTTCATGAGCTGAAAGAAAAAGATCCCAGAAATCTTCCATACCGCAGGAAAGGCAGGATTGAATCTGCATTTTAGCCATCGATGTGATTTTTGGCTGAGTTCTGTCCCTGCCTGGCTGAGTGGCATTGTGGGTGGAATGAGCGAGCTCGTCTGGCAACCACAGCGTGAAACACGTGAGGGAAAAAAAACTAAATAACTCTGTATTCTGCCTGGAAATTAATTAGCAAGACATTTACATTTTAATCATATTTTTCATATTATATCATTTCATTTTCTCCTCTCATTTTAATTGAAGTATTCTCAAGTACCAACTTGAGAAAATGTCTGATTTTCAAGGTATTCCAGTACTAGAATTTCAGAGTGCCAAATTCAAGTACTTTAACCACCTTGTGCGAACCCTGATATATACACAGTTGTATGTGTATAGTCTGGAGGAGAGAAGGAGATAGTTTATATAGACTGTTGTACTGTATGTTTTAGTCTTGAGGAGAGAAAAGGCTTTTAGTCATCTGGCTGGTTGTGGAGTTGACTGTTTATAATGGCCGTCTGATGTCCACACAGAATATTGTCTGACCTCATTGAACCCTCCCCTCGCTCTCTCCCCTCCCCACTCCTCTCCCCTCCCCTCCCCACTCCGCTCTCTCCCCGCTCTCTCCCCACTCCTCTCCCCTCCCCCTCTCTCCCCCTCCCTCTCCCCTCCTCCCCTCCTCTTCCCCTCATCCCTCCCCCCTCTCCCCTCCCTCTTCCCTCCCCTCCCCTCTCCTCTCCCCTCTCTCCCCTCCTCTTCCCTCTCCTCCCCTCTCCTCCCCTCTCCTCTCCCCTCCACTCTCTTTAAATTTAATTGTATTTTACCAACAAAACCTTTTTCCATTTAATTGTGGAACTCTCTCTTTCCTGGCCTCCGTTCTTCTCACTCTCTCCTCCTCCATCTCTCCTGTGTGTCTGAGTGTGATCATATTGATCTTAGGGAGATCGTGAAAAGCTACAGAGTACCGCTTTGGCAAACTACTGAATACTCCTTTAGAAAAAAAAAAAAAGGTGATATGTTCCACACACAACCACTTGTTCAGTTGATTGCACCAGCACATAATTCGGTTGAACCTGGCCTGTGTCTCATAATGCTCCTGCATTCCACACAGAACCAAGCTAATAATGACTAGCCATCTTTTAAATTAGCATGCCCTGGGCTTGACATTCAGGTAAATGTGCCAGTGGCACGCCGTAGAAAACTGCTGTTTCCCGGGAAAGCGGTGTTGCGCGCATCATTTAAATGTTATCTGTCATTTGTGGGCTGATCAACCAGCCTATAATGACCTACCCTCCACACACAAATAATTACATTTTATCTTGACAATATCATATTTACATTGATTGTTTGGAGGGAAAAATGTAAACCTTTGCGCAATTGTTAGCAATTTAACAGTCATTCTACATTTGTAGGGTAATATAAAATCTGTTCTATCTTTTGGTAAATTCAGTTTTCCCGGTTTTATTTTTCCAAGTTTCTGAGTTTTCCTAGTTCTTTCAGATTTTCACTCTCAAAATCACACTTTTTTAAAATAGAAAACAATGCTTAAACCACATCAGGAGAACACTTTTGAGGTCTGGGAACAATAACAAAATATATTTTTTAATTTAATTCAGTTGTGTGCCTACTAGCAAGATATTTTTTCTTTCACCTTTATTTAACCAGGTAAGCCAGTTGAGAACAAGTTCTCATTTACAACTGCGACCTGGCCAAGATAAAGCAAAGCAGTGCGATAAAAACAACAACACAGGCTACATGTGATGGCAGAGTTTGCAAAACAAATGCCCCGCGATTGATACAAATCATCATGATATCATTCTGACAGGTAGGCCTACTTTGCAATCAACATTTGTGAAAGCCTTTACACATTTTGCATGATGGCTAAATTGCGCATCACAAAGATTAAACGAAGACTTCGGACTAAACTTTTTGGATACCTAGTTTTCATACACATTGCTGTTTGAATAAATCTTGATAAATTAGAAAAAAGCTAATTGTGAACCAAAAACTAATGTGACCAGCTAAAAATAAAACATCACTGGTACCCTAGCGACCAAATGCGAGTGTTATAGTCTCCCCCGTCACACACACACTCACACCCTCTCCCCCAACTCACCCATGAAGTTGAGGTAGCCCTCTCCCCCCAACTCACCCATGAAGTTGAGGTAGCCCTCTCCCCCCAACTCCCCCATGAAGTTGAGGAAGCCCTCTCCCCCCAACTCACCCATGAAGTTGAGGTAGTCCTCTCCCCACAACTCACCCATGAAGTTGAGGTAGCCCTCTCCCCCAACTCACCCATGAAGTTGAGGTAGCCCTCTCCCCCCAACTCCCCCATGAAGTTGAGGAAGCCCTCTCCCCCAACTCACCCATGAAGTTGAGGTAGCCCTCTCCCCCAACTCCCCCATGAAGTTGAGTTAGCCCTCTCCCCCCAACTCACCCATGAAGTTGAGGTAGTCCTCTCCCCCCAACTCACCCATGAAGTTGAGGTAGTCCTCTCCCCCCAACTCACCCATGAAGTTGAGGTAGCCCTCTCCCCCCAGAGCGTGTGTGAGGAGGCGGATCATCTTATGGAGCTGGATGCCTCGGTCGATGACGGGCGTCATGGGGATCAGGGAACTCATGTTGGTGTACATCTCTTTATCCATCAGCCAGAATGCCAGGGTCTTATCACCTACCAGAGCCTGGCAACACGGACACAGAGAGAGATACTTTACTATCATCTACCACAGCCTGGCAACATTTTAGCTGTGTTCCATTTCCCCTTCACTCTATACTGGGGTCTATTCCTTCAACTCTCTCCCTGGGGTCTATTCCCTTCACTCTATACCTGGGGTCTATTCCCTTCACTCTATACCTGGGGTCTATTCCCTTCACTCTATAGATGGGGTCTATTCCCTTCACTCTATAGATGGGGTCTATTCCCTTCACTCTATGATGGGTCTATTCCTCACTCCTATAGCTGGGTCTTATTCCCTTCACTCTATAGCTGGGGTCTATTCCCTTCACTCTATAGCTGGGGTCTATTCCCTTCACTCTATACTGGGGTCTATTCCCTTCACTCTATAGCTGGGGTCTATTCCCTTCACTCTATAGATGGGGTCTATTCCCTTCACTCTATAGATGGGGTCTATTCCCTTCACTCTATAGATGGGGTCTATTCCCTTCACTCTATAGATGGGGTCTATTCCCTTCACTCTATAGCTGGGGTCTATTCCCTTCACTCTATAGATGGGGTCTATTCCACCTTCACTCTATACATGGTGTCCATTCCCTTGCACTCTATAGCTGGGGTCGTATTCCCTTCACTCTATAGCCTGGGGTCTATTCCCTCACTCCTATACTGGGGGGTCTATTCCCTTCATCTAAGCTGGGGTCTATCCTTCACTCTATAGATGGGTTTCTATTCCTTCACGCTATGATGGGGTCTATTCCCTCACGCTATAAGTGGTGTCCTATCCTTCACTCTATAGATGGGTCTATTCCCTTCACCTATAGAGGGGTCTATGTCTATTCCCTTCACTCATATACCTGGGTCATCCCTTCACTTATAGCTGGGTCTATTCCCTTCCTCTATAGATGGGGTCTATTCCCTTCACTCTATAATACTGGGGTCCATTCTCCCTTGCACTCTATAGCTGGGGTCTATTCCCTTCACTCTATAGCTGGGGTCTATTCCCTTCACTCTATAGCTGGGGTCTATTCCCTTCACTCTATAGCTGGGGTCTATTCCCTTCACTCTATAGATGGGGTCTATTCCCTTCACTCTATAGATGGGGTCTATTCCCTTCACTCTATAGCTGGGGTCTATTCCCTTCACTCTATAGCTGGGGTCTATTCCCTTCACTCTACGCTGGGGTCTATTCCTTCACTCTATAGATTGGGTTCTTATTCCTTCACTCTATAGATGGGGTCTATTCCCTTCACTCTATAGATGGGGTCTATTCCCTTCACTCTATACCTGGGGTCTATTCCCTTCACTCTATAGCTGGGGTCTATTCCCTTCACTCTATACCTGGGGTCTATTCCCTTCACTCTATAGATGGGGTCTATTCCCTTCACTCTATAGATGGGGTCCATTCCCTTCACTCTATAGCTGGGGTCTATTCCCTTCACTCTATAGCTGGGGTCTATTCCCTTCACTCCTATAGCATGGGTCTATTCCCTCACTCTATATGCTTGGGGTCTATTGCCCTTCACTCTATAGATGGGTCAAAAAAAAAAAAAAAGATTCCCTTCACTCTATAGATGGGGGTCTATTTCCCTTCACTCTATAGATTGGTTCTATTCCCTTCACGCTATAATCCATTGGGTCCATTCCCTTTCACTCTATAGATGGGGTCTATTCCCTTCACTCTATACAGGTGGTCCATTCCTTCACTCGATAGCTGGGGTCTATCCTTCATCTATAGCTGGGTCTATTCCCTCACTCTATATTGGGGTCTATTCCCTTCATCTATAGATGGGGGTCTATTCCCTTCATCTATAGATTGGGTCTATGCCCTTCACTCTATACATGGGGTCCATTTCCCTCACTCTATAGATGGGTCCTATTCCCTTCACTCTAATCCCTGGGGTCTATTCCCGTCACTCATAGCTGGGGTCTATTCCCTTCACTCTATACATGGGTTCCATTCCTTCACTCTACTACCGGGGGTCCTATTCCCTTCACTCTATAGCTGGGGTCTATTCCTTCACTCTAATAGCTGGTTCTATTCCCTTCACTCTATAGATGGGGTCCTATTCCCTTCACTCTATAGCTGGGTCCTAATTCCCTTCACTCTATGATGGGGTCTATTCCCTTCACTCTATACATGGGGTCTATTCCCTTCACGCTATAGATGGGGTCTATTCCCTTCCCTCTATAGATGGGTCTAATTCCTTCACTCTCTAGATGGGGTCTATTCCCTTCACTCTATACCTGGGGTCTTTCCTTCACTCTATGCTTGGGGACTATTCCCTTCACTCTATAGATGGGGTCTATTCCCTTCACTCTATACATGGGGTGCCATTCTTCTCACTCTATACTGGGGTCCTATTCCCTTTCACTCTATAGCTGGGGTCTATTCCCTTCCACTCTATACCTGGGTTCGAATTCCCTCACTCTATGATTGGGCCTTTCCCTTCACTCTATAGATGAGTCTATTCCTCACATCTATACATGTGGTCCATTCCTTCACTCCATAGCTGGGGTCCTAGCCCTTCACTCTAATAGCTGGGGGGTCTATTCCTTCAACTCCTATAGTGGGGTCTATTCCCTTCACAGCTCTAGATGGGGTCTATTCCCCTTCACTCTATGATTGGTCTATTCCCTCACTCATACATGGTGTCCATTCCCTTCACTCTATAGATGGGGTCTATTCCCTTCACTCTATACATGGTGTCCATTCCCTTCACTCTATAGCTGGGGTCTATTCCCTTCACTCTATAGCTGGGGTCTATTCCCTTCACTCTATGATGGGGTCTATTCCCCTTCACTCTATAGATGGGTCTATTCCCTCCTCTATAATGGGGCTATTCCCTTCACTCTATACATGGGGTCCATTCCCTTCACTCTATAGATGGGGTCTATTCCCTTCACTCTATACCTGGGGTCTATTCCCTTCACTCTATAGCTGGGGCGTCCATTCCCCTTCACTCTATAGCAAAAAATGGGGGGGGTCCATTCCCTTCACTCTATACCTTTGTTCTATTCCCCTCACTCTATAGTTGGGTCCTATTCTCCCTTCCTTATAGACTGGGGTCCTATTCCTTCACTCTATAGATGGGGTCTATTCCCCTTCACTTATAGTGGGGTCTATCCCTTCATTCAACTCTATACAGGGGGTCATTCCCTTCACTTCTTACCTGCACCTGGGGCTATTACCTTCACTCTATACCTGGGGTCTATTCCCTTCACCTCTATACCTTGGGTCGATTCACCTTCATCTCCTCGCTGGGGTCATTTCCCCTTCACTCTATACATGGGGTCCCATTCCCTTCACTTCTATAGCTGGGGTCTATTTCCCTTCACTACTCTATGATTGGGTCCTATTCCCTTCCTCTATACATGGTGTCCTTCCCTTCACTCTATACCTGGGGTCTATTCCCTCCTCTATAGATGGGGGTCTATTCCCTTCACTCATAGATGGGGTCCATTCCTTCACTCTATCGAATTGGGGTCCTATGTTTCCCTTCCCCTCTATATATGGGGTCTATCCTTCACTCTATAGATGTGGCTTATTCCCTCACTCTATATATGGTCTATTCCCTTCACTCTATAGATGGGGTCTATTCCCTTCACTCTATAACCTTGGGTCTCTTCCCCTTCACTCTATCCTGGGGCTATTCCCCTTCACTCTATAGATTGGGGGTCTATTTCCCTTCAACTCTATAGATGGGTCTATTCCCTTCACTCTATAGATGGGGTCCTATTCCCCCTTCCTGCTTAGATGGGGTCCTAGTCCCTTCAACTCTATACAGGGGTCCATTCCCTTCACTCGAAGCTGTGGTCCTTTCCCTTCCCTCTATAGCTGGGGTCTATTCCCTTCCACCTATAGATGGGGTCCCTATTCCCTTCACTCTATGATGTGGTCTATGCCCTTCACTCTATATCTGGGGTCCTTTCCCTTCACTCTATAGCGGGGGTCTATTCCCTTCCCTCTATAGTATGGGTCTATTCCCTTCACTCTATAGATGTGTGTCTTCCTTCACTCTATACATGGGGTCTATTCCTTCACTCTATAGCTGGGGTCTTATTTCCTTCAACTCTTAGCTGGGGTCTATTCCCTGCCACTCTATCAGCTGGTCTATTCCTCACTTATATCTGTGGTCTATTCCCTTCACTCTATATATGGGGTCTATTCCCTTCACTCTATAAGATGGGGTCTATTCCCTTCACTCTTATAGATGGGGTCTATTCCCTTCACTCTATAGCTGGGTCTATTCCCTTCAACTCTATAAGCTGGGTCCCTAATTCCCTTACTCTATAGAGGGTCTATTCCCTTCACTCTACTAGATGGTGTCTTTCCTTACTCTCTAGATTGGGTCTTGCCCTTCCCTCTATACCTGGGTCCTATTTCCTTCACTCTATAGCTGGTGTCTTTCCCTTCACCTATACCTGGGGTCTATTCCCTCACTCTATATCTGGGGTCCTATCCCTCACTCTATAGATGGGTCTTATTCCCGTCACTCTATAACAATGTGTCCATTTCCTCCCTTCACTCATAGCTTGGGTCTATTCCCTTCACTCTATAGCTGGGGTCTATTTCCCCCGTCACTCTATATATGGGGTCCTATTCCCTTCACACATAAATGGGGTCTATTCCCCTTCACTCTATAGATGGGGTCTAGTTCCCTTACTCTATACATGGGTCCATTCCTTCATCTATAGATGGGGTCTCTTCCTTCACTCTATACGATGGGGTTCCCATTCCCTTCACTCTATAAAGCTGGGTCTATTCCCTTCACTCTATATCTGGGTCTATTCCCTTTCAACTCTATAGATTGGGTCTATTCCCTTCACTCTATACTGGGGTCTATTCCCCTTCACATCTATAGATGGGGTCTATTCCCTTCACTCTATAGATGGGGTCTATTCCTCAATCTAATGATGGGGTCTATTCCTTCACTCTATAATGGGGTCTATTCCCTCCCTTCACTCTATAATAGATGGGGTCTATTCCCTTCACTCTATAGATGGGGTCTATTCCCTTCACTCTATACCTGGGGTCTATTCCCTTCACTCTATAGCTGGGGTCTATTCCCTTCACTCTATACATGGGGTCCATTCCCTTCACTCTATACCTGGGGTCTATTCCCTTCACTCTATAGCTGGGGTCTATTCCCTTCACTCTATAGCTGGGGTCTATTCCCTTCACTCTATAGATGGGGTCTATTCCCTTCACTCTATAGATGGGGTCTATTCCCTTCACTCTATACATGGGGTCCATTCCCTTCACTCTATACCTGGGGTCTATTCCCTTCACTCTATAGCTGGGGTATATTCCCTTCACTCTATACATGGGGTCCATTCCCTTCACTCTATAGCTGGGGTCTATTCCCTTCACTCTATAGATGGGGTCTATTCCCTTCACTCTATACATGGGGTCCATTCCCTTCACTCTATACCTGGGGTCTATTCCCTTCACTCTATAGATGGGGTCTATTCCCTTCACTCTAATATGGGGTTCCAGTCCCTTCACTCTATAGATGGGGTCTATTCCCTTCACTCTATAGATGGGGTCTATTCCCTTCACTCTATAGATGGGGTCTATTCCCTTCACTCTATAGATGGGGTCTATTCCCTTCACTCTATACATGGGGTCTATTCCCTTCACTCTATACCTGGGGTCTATTCCCTTCACTCTATATGGGGTTATTCCTTCACTCTATAGATGGGGTCTATTCCCTTCACTCTATAGATGGGGGTCATTCCCTTCAACTCTATAGATGGTGGGTCTATTCCCTTCACTCTATAATACATGGGGTCCATTCCTTCACTCTATATCTGGGTCTATCCCTTCACTCTATACTGGGGTTCTATTCCCTTCACTCTATAGATGGGGTCTATTCCCTTCACTCGTATGATGGTGGTCTATTCCCTTTCACTCTTAGCGCTGCTGGGGTCTATTCCCTTCACTCTATAGATATTGGGTCTATTCCCTTCAACTCTCTAGATGGGGTCTATTTCCCTTCACTCTATGATGGGGTCTATTCCCTTCACTCTATAGATGGGGTCCTTATCCCTTCACTCTATAGATGGGTCTATTCCCTTCACTCTTATACCTGGGTCTATTCCCTTCATCTATAACTGGGGTCCTATTCCCCTTCCTCTATAGATGGGGTCTATTCCCTCACTCTATACATGGGTCCATTCCCCTTCACTCTAATAGCTGGGGTCCTAATTCCCTGCACTCATAGTCGGGGGGTCTATTCCCTTCACTCTATAGCTGGGGTCTATTCCCTTCAACTTCTATAGCTGGGGTCTATTCCCTTCACTCGATAGATGGGGTCTATGCTCCCTTCACGCTAAAGAGGGGGTCTAGTCCCTTGTGCACTCTATAGATGGGGTCTATTCCCTTCCTCTAGAGATGGGGCTATTTCCCCTTCAAATCTATAGAATGGGGTCTATCCCTTCACTCATAGATGGGGTCTATTCCCTTCACACTATAGATGGGGTCCTATTCCTTCACTCGAGAGATTGGGTCCTATTTCCCTTCCCTCTATACATGGTTCCATTCCTTCACTCTATAGATGGGGTCTATTTCCCTTCACTCTATAGCGGGTCTAGTCCTTCACTTCTATAGCTGGGGGTCTATTCCCTTCACTCTATAGATGGGGTCTATTCCCTTCACTCTATAGATGGGGTCTATTCCCTTCACTCTATAGATGGGGTCTATTCCCTTCACTCTATACATGGGGTCCATTCCCTTCACTCTATAGATGGGGTCTATTCCCTTCCCTCTATACCTGGGTCATATTCCCTGCACTCTATAGCTGGTCTATTCCCTTCCCTCTATAACAGGGGTCCTTCCCTTCACTCTATACCTGGGTTCGATCCCTTCACTCTAAGCTGGGGTCTATTCCCTTCACTCCTATAAGCTGGGGTCTATTCCCTTCACTCTATGATGGTGTCCTATTCCTCTTCACTCTATAGATGGGGTCTATTTTCCTTCACTCATACATGGAGGTCCCTTCCCTTCACTCTATACCTGGGGTCTATTCCCTTCACTCTATAGCGGGGTATATTCCCTTCACCTATACATCTGGGGTCCATTCCCTTCACTCTATAGCTGGGGTCTATTCCCTTCACTCTATAGATGGGGTCTATTCCCTTCACTCTATACATGGGGTCCATTCCCTTCACTCTATACCTGTGGGTCTAATTCCCTTCACTCTATAGATGTGGGGTCCTATTCCCTCTCACTCTATAGATGGGTCCATTCCCTTCAACTCTATATATTGGGTATTTCCCTTCACTCTATAGATTGGGTCTATTCCCGTCACTCTATAGAATGGGGTCTATTCCCTTCACTCTATAGATTGGCCTATTCCCTTCACTCTATACCTGGGGTCTATTCCCTTCACTCTATACCTGGGGTCTATTCCCTTCACTTATAGATGGGGTCTATTCCCTTCCACTCATAGATGGGTCTATTCCCTTCACTCTATGATGGGGTCTATTCCTTCACTCATACTGGGGTACATTCCCTTCACTCTATAGATGGGGTCTATTCCTTTCAACTACTAACATGGGGTCCATTCCCTTCCACTTCCCTTCACTCTATAGCTAGCTGGGGTCTATTCCCTTGATCTATAGCTGGGGTCTATCCCTTCAAACTCTATAAGAATTGGGGTCATTCCCTCACTCCTTAGTGGGGTCTATTCCCTTCACTCTATATATGGGGGTCTATTCCCTCACTCATACCTGGGGTTCCTATTCCCTTCACTCTATAGATGGGGAGCTATTCCCTTCACTCTATCCCTGGGTCCTATTCCCTTCATCTATAGCTGGGGTCTATTCCTTCACTCTATACATGGGTCTATTCCCTTCAACTCTATAAACCTGGGGTCTATTCCCTTCACTCTATCGATGGGGTCTATTCCCTTCACCTATACTGGGTCCCATTCCCTTCACTCTATACCTGGGGTCCTATTCCCCTCACTCTATAATCTGGGGTCTATTCCTTCCTCCTATAGCTGGGGTCTATTCCCGTCACTCTATAGCTGGGTCATTCCCTTCCAATCTATAGATGGGGGTCTATTCCCTTCACTCTATAGATGGGTCGATTCCTTCACCTATACATGGGTCATTCCCTTCACTCTATACGGGTCTTTCCTTTTCACTCTATAGCTGGGTTAGATTCCTTCACTCTATAACATGGGGTCCTTCCCTTCACTCTTAGCTGGGGTCTATTCCCTTCACTCTATAGATGTGGTCTATTCCTTCCCCTCTATAACATGGGGTCCATTCCCGTCACGTATACCTGGGGTCTATTCCCTTCACATCTAAGATGGGGTCCCTATTCCCTTCACTTATAAGATGGGGTCCATTCCCTCCCGCTCTAGATGGGGTCCTATTCCCTTCACTCTATAGATGGGTCTATTCCCTTTCACTCTATACCTGGGGTTCTATTCCCTTCACTTCTAAGATGGGGTCCTATTCCCTTCACTCTATACCTGGGGTCTCTTCCGCCTTCACACCCGCTATACCTGGGCTATTCCCTTCACTCTATACCTGGGGTCTAATCCCTTCACTCTATAGATGGGGTCTATTCCTTCAACTCTATATTGGGGTGGGGTCCTATTCCTTCACTCTATTACCTGGGGTCCTCTTCCCTTCACTCTATAGCTTGGGGTCCCGATTCCCTTCACTCTATACATGGGGGTCCTATTTCCCTTCACTTATACCTGGGGTCTATTCCCTTCGACTCTATAGATGGGGTCTATTCCCTTCACTCTATAGCAATGGGTTCCAGTCCTTCCCTCTATACTGGGGTCTATTCCTTCACTCTATAGCTGGGTCTATGCCCTTCACCTATAAGCTGGGGTCTATGCCCTTCACTCTATGATGGTGTCTATTCCCTTCACTCTATAACATGGGGTCATGGGGGTCCATTCCCTTCACTCTATACCTGGTTCCTAATTCCTCCCTTCACTCTATAGCTGGGTATATTCCTTCACTCTATACATGGGGTCCCTTCCCTTCCCGTCTATAGCTTGGGGTCGATTCCCTTCACCTATACCTGGGTCTAATTCCCTTCACATCTATACCTGGGGTTCTATTCCCTTCACTCTATAGCTGGGGTCTATCCCTCACTCTATACCTGGGGTCCTATCCCTTCAATCTATACCTGGGGTCTCATTCCTCACTCTATAGCTGGGTCTATCCCTTCACTCTATAGATGGGGTCTATTCCTTCACTTCACCTATAGGCATCGGGTCTATTCCTTACTCTATAGCGGGGTATAAATAATAGTAATAATAATAATCATAATGATAATAATACATTTAGTTTGTATAGCACTTAAAATGGTTATAAAATACCCAGTTTTTCTTGGGTTTTGTGGGAATGAACTTTGACTGAAGACGAGACCGCCGGGCAATATCATCAGTCGAGTGCGTTTCTGCTGTAACTCTTAACATGATGAAACTTTCTTGTAATGTATAATGTTTATTCAAATGATGCTAACTGATGTGGCTCATGCAATTGAATGGATGTTTTGTAACGTCTATTGAGTTGAAGCACACATTTTACTTCCTGCTTTGCGCTCCTATGGGTACACTCACAATAGCTGCCAGTCCACCCATTATGCCGTAATTGGAATGGGGATGCCTGTTCTATTCATTCTATTTCTATGGCAGCACATCCAACCGAGAGTGGAGCGGAGGATAAAATGTGCGTTATCACGGTGACCGCGGTCATTTGGCTGGCCAATTACAGTCATCCAAACTTCAATGACCGGCACAGCCCTATTGATTACGTCACTAGCCAATAGTACCTGGTCGTGGCTCTCAGCGTAGCAGATACAGTCCTCACCCTTCCTCCTATTGGTCAGCGTGTAGACGATGTTCCCCATGTCCCACTCCTCATCCTTTAACTCCTTCAGTATCTACAGAGAGAGAGAGAGAGAGAGAGGAGAGAGCGAGAGAGGGGAATAGAGAGCGAGAGAGAGAGGGGAAAGAGAGAAGAGGAGAGGGAAAGAGAGAGAAAGAGATGAGGGGAAAGATAAGAGAGAAGAGGGAAACAGAGGATTAGAAAGAGATGGTGTTTAAAGAGTAAGGAAAGCTCTTATGCAGATAAGACGTATCAGTTGATTTGTTCTATTAGATATCTCCTCTTATCTACTCGCTCTCTTTGTAACCTCTTACTCTCTCTTTCCACTTCCTCTTTTCCTCTCATATCGTCTTCTATATGCTCTCTCTCATCTCTTTTCCATCTATTCTTCCTATGTCATTTTCCACTCTCTCTTCTTTTTCCCTCTTTTTTTCTTCTTTCTTTTCCCTCTCTCTTCTTTTCTTAGTATATAACTCATATATGAGCTAGAATGATAACACATATTTCAGATGGTAGGTTTATTAATATATTGTTTATGTGGTATATAATAGGAGAGCGAGAGGTAGATATAGAAGGCGGATAGAGGGTTTGTTTATATTATTTAATACATTCGGGGGGGGGGGGGGGGGGTAGGTGATTCTTTCAGTCTCTCTGTGCGTGTGCATGTCAGGCAGGGAAGGTGCCAGAACGAATCAGTTGGAAAGGCATTTGATTTCCATAGGGGGGCATGTTTATTTTTTCACGGGACATCCTATGTCAAATCAAATCAAAAAATGATGTCACATGCTCCCTAAAAAACAGATGTAGA